AAGAGGGCTCCTGTGAGGGGCTGAATAGTAGCCCCCAAAGATGTCCACATCCTGATCCCTGCAAGCGGTGAATCCTACCTTGTACAGCAAAAGGACCTATGCAGATGTGAGTAAGGATCTTGAGAAGTTGGCCTGGACTATCCAGGTAGGCCCTAACTGTGATCCCAAGGGTCTTCATAAGAGGGAGGCAGAGGGAGATCTGGTCCCGGAGAGGTAGTAGGCAGTGTGATAATAGAAGCAAGAGGTCGGAAGGATTCAAGGAAGGGGACAAAGAAAACAGATTCTCCCCTAGAACTTCCAGAAGGAAGCCCCACAGATGCCTGGAATTTTGCTCAGTGAAGCCGGTCTCCAGAACTGTAAAAGAATGAATTTGTGTTGTTTAAAGCCACTATCCTTCCCCAGGGCAGGACTAATCTTCCCCACCTTTCTGACTATAGGTCTTGAGACCCTCCCCAGAGAGGGACCCGCCCTATACCCTGGGGGAAGGAATGCTGACGTTATGAAGCTTCCATAAAACCCCAAGAGGACAGGGTTCTCTGGGAAGCTTCCAGATAGCTGAGTACATGGAGGTTCCTAGAGGGTAGAATATCCAGGAAGGGCACAGAAGTTCCACATCCCTTCCTCCACACCTCACCCCATGCATCTCTTCACCTGTAGCCTTCATAACAGCCTTTAAAATAAACCATTAAACGTGTTTCCCTGAGTTCTGTGAGCTGGAGAACCATCTTCTTCCTTGTCAGTCCCTCTGGGCCCTCATCGTGACTGTGCACGGAAAACTCTCTCCAACCGTGCTCTTCCTCTGCTCTCACCCCACGACAATCAACACGGAAGATGCTGGTGACCAAATGTGTGGGAATTTCTCCCCCCGACATGGAGCTGTGGACACCTGCTGGGTGTCCTCCAATTCAATTCTGACCACCGAGTTTGTGGTCATTTATCACACCAGCAATAAGAAACTAATCTTGTCAATACAGTGTCTGTATTTTCCCAGAGTTCTTTTGAAGAGAGTATCACAGGAGGCATATGGGTAACAGTGAAGGGGAGCTGGGCAAAAGGGGTGGGATCCGGAATGTAGCTTAGAAAGGTCGAACCAACACCCTGCAGCCTCAGCAAGAAAAGAGCAGGTCTGTGAGAGCATCGGCAAGAAGTGGCACTGGCTTTGAAGTGGGATGTTAAATTAAACCATTTGCTGACTGTAACTTGGGCAGGTGGCTTCATCTCTGAAAGCCTCAGTTTCATCATTGCAAAATAGAGATATTATCATCCACCTTGCAAAGCTCTTAGGATTAAATGAGATAATACGTGAAAAGCAGCTGGCCCATGGTAAACGCCAAATACACCACAACCCTTAGGAAAGAGTAGGTGTGCACAGATGAGCATAATCTGTGAGTTGCCCACTGCCATATCTATTCTACCCTTTCCTCTTAGTAACAGAACTCTAATTTGGAGTTCACACGTTGCAGCCCACAGTAAAAAAAAAGACTACATTTCCCAGCCTTCCTTGCAGTT